CACGGCCCCGCGTCCCGCCGCAGACCCCGCTGCACGCCGGCCGGGAGCTCCGCGAGCTGCCGGCGTCGGGCAGGGTGGGCGCGGGAAAGCTCAGACCGCCGACCGGCACAGTGGTTGCGTGTCCCGGCCGCCGCCAGGCCCAAACCGGAGCACCACCCCTCGCTTCCCCGGATGCGGCGCTGCAGCTTCTCAACCTGCCCGGTTTCACCGTCGCAACTTCCTGCACGAACGCAAACAGCTAACCTGTAAGGAGAGAGGAGAAATGGTCTTCTTTTCGAGACTGCTGTTTTAAGTCCTAAGTCTGAACGTAACCGCATTTAGCTATGCTTAGAAATCTAAAAGTTAGACATTCTCCGAAGAGTCAGCTAAGAGTCCCCATCCCAGACGGCAGAGTGGCTGTCAAGCTTCGTCCCGCTGGTCGGACGCCTCTTCCTGCCCGCCCCAGAGGGTCCTGGAGCTGAGATCCCCCAGACTATTCCTGGCAATCGACTGCTCTACTACTTCCAACCAGGAAGAAAGTCCGCACACTAATAAAATAACAAACGGCCCATTCTCTATGGGTTTCTCCTTCACTCAGGGTGAAGTTGAACACTGTTGCTTGTTTCCCGATACCGTATTTATGAAACGAGGGACAAGAGACAACATGCTTTAATTTTTGCGTGTGAAATAGGAACAGAGTTATTCACTACTGAAAAATAGTTTGCACAACTTAGAATTAGGCAATATTAGTGGTTAACCTTTTATCAAAAGTCACCTAAACGATTACTGAAATGAGGTTACATGGAACTTTTAAAAAAACTGAAATAAAAGGCATTTCATTCAATTGCAGGTAAACATTCTAAAGCAAAAACAAATGAAACAAAAAAAAACCTCTCCCAGAAGCTTCCATTATCTCCTAACTTAAAAATAATAAAAATGATCTTGAAATCACAAAGTTATCTCAATACTTACTGGAGAAAGTGAGTTCCTGACCAGATGTGGATGCGGTTCCCAGTCTGCAAGTCTTCTTTGAATCTTCTCCAGATGCTTATCAAATCTCACTAGCAGTAAAAGGCTATTTTTAAAATAAAATGTATCCTAGTTCCCTATCTCATTGGGTTTGGGCATGGCAAGTAGCCATATTAGAAAAAACTGAAGTAATTAACGTACAGGGATTTATGCAGGACATGTTAGTGTTATGTTAAACAGTTGGGAAATGTCATTCATGCTTTGAACTACATCTGAAATTTATATTGCCACCACCTAATGCATTAGTTTAGGCAAAAATTCAATCTAAAAATCCAATCGATGGGTCTTTATGTGATTATGGCTCACAAATTTATTCCATAAGTCTTTCTAAATCATCAGTATTCAATGCAGCTAACAAAGCAAGTCTTTGGAAGGTGCTTGCATTTAGTGAATAGGATTGAGTCTCTGATTTGCTTTAAATTGAAAGTAAACAATCGATAGCAGAATGGAGTTTGAACACAACATCTGTGTTGATAAAAAGTCTGATCGACTACTTGTTCTGACGATTAGGTTTTAGTTCTAAGGAAAGTATTAAATAGAAGACAACTGGGTTACATGTCCACCCTTCCATATACAGAACACCCTTCCTGTGTCCTTCAACACTGCACACACTCTCACACACACACACTTCCATTTACAGCCCAAGATTACAGACAAGTACCTGAAGTCCCTGCAGTTCCTCTCTGCATCTCCGGTTCTGGGTTTTGGCTTCTGTGCCTCAGTTGGAAAAGATAAGTTAGATTATTATGAAACCCCAAAACATTTAGGAAAATGTCACCTCTGCGGTTAGTATTTCTGAAACGGAGTTGTGCTGTGGCCTCTGCTAAACTTTGAGGGGCTTTGTTCCACTCGGACCCTGCCGCCAGTCCTCCCTCTTGGTTGTGAAGATACTTATCCTCCTCTTCAGTTAATGAGTTTCACCTAGTCTGGCCGTTTGTGTTTTTATAAAAGATCTGCAAAGCACTAATTGCAAAAGAAGAAAAAAGATCTTGTTTTACATGTGGAATTCTATAGTAAGCACATTTTCTATTTTAATGTTTCAAGAGTCAAACCTTATCCTAATTTCAAGATGTGCACATACAAACTCAGTACGTTTCTGGGTGTAGAATATTAAGCCCTCTATAAATTACTTCTGGCTTGGATCTTTTACTACTTACAGGAACGCTAAAAGGAAAAAGATATGCCTACACCAAATACGCTTTCGGAAAGTACTATATAAAAAAGGCTATTTCTTCTTAATGATCTTTTTGATAGAGAGTTCACTTAGTCTAAGGGATTCTTTGTTCCAAAAATAAAGTATTAAGGAAAAAACTGTCCATGCAGATTTATTTTCTTTAAATATGTTACTTAAAGTCCTTAGTCCATAAGCTATTATTGTTTTTTGTTAAGTATTGGGCTGTAAAAAAAAAGAATCCCAAACCATGTGGACTTGCAGAACACGTTTTCTAGAAGTAAAATTTCAGAATTCTGGTACTACTATAAGGGAATCAAATCAATATAAACAGGCATTTTGAAATTTGGCACATCAGTAATATTTATGCTAGCTTGGTTAACATTTTTAAAGTCAATCCATAATATGTAAGAACCCAAATTGGGAGAATTTTCTGTAGGTGCATTGCACCATTTTCATACTATTTTTCTGCTCAAATTATTTCTTTTTAGGTAAAATGTTTTAAAAATTAGTTGTTTCCCAAACAACCCCTTGATAAAGGCTGATCCCATTGCTTCTCTAGTGTTTCTTTCCCCTCAGTGAAAGGGACTGGAGTTTATTTTTTTTAACTATATAAAATACAGTTTAAAGAAAGTACAAGTTTAATTTCTAAAACACCTCCCTAAGGGTTCACTTTGCACGTTCAGAAAAACACGAGAACAATGAAGCAAAATAAAATGTTTCAGCCTCAAATGGTAATTCTAAAACTTCAAATGTAGAAGAGGTTTAGGGTCTCTGGTAACTATTTGTTTGATCATTTATAAATCACACTTTATCCATATTATGTTTT